AGAAAGAAAAAGGTGATCATAATTTCATCCAAATGTCTTAATTAGAGACTCATAAAGAAGAAGTAGATATGGATGGGTACTTGGATATAGGATCTTATCATTTTCTATCTTATCCATCAATATCTTCGAGAAAGGTGGATGCTGGAGAACGAAGATGAAAGAAATTCCAGCATCTCTTGTTAGCTGATGCATGCCTTCTTCAAGATTAGGAAAGGAAAATGAAAGTTAAGGAAAGAGAAAAAAGTAATAAAAAGTTACTTCTGTAAAATCAATAATAAAAAGAAAAGATAATGAAAAAGTAACCAAAAGACAGATCTTAAGATGAGATAAGCCAGGATTCGTAATGTTGACGAACTAATGCATCAGATAATAATTCTAGAGGTTAATGACACAGGAAATAAGAGGAAAAAACATCAAACAGATACAAATCTTTTATTGCATCATACTTATTATCTTCTTTCTCTTAATGTGGCTAATCCTAGCTGACGTTAAGATTTTATGATTTACAATATGAAAATAAATATGAAAAAGATATCCAAAAAGATGAAAGAACATATGAAAGTAAATAAAAGCATTCTAAATCTTCTTTACAAGCATTTAACATTTTTGATGGAAATAATCATAATGTGAGACAAGAAGAAAGAAAAGAAAGGCATTAGAAAGATAAATGGCGTGATAAACCCAATAAAATCCGATATGAAAGAGATATACAAAGAGAATTACAGTAATAAAAGATGAAGAAGATAGAAAAAGAACATGAAAGAAAAAAGGAAATGATATCTTCGTTCCTCAGCCTTTCCATAAAGACACTTTTCTATTTCTCTTTACTTCTTCTTTAGAATTCTTTTATTTTGGAAATCATTACATGTAGAAGTTACATCAGATTCATTTTGTTTTCTTATTCATATTTCTATCGTATTAATATTTGCAAATATTATAATTCTATTTATCTTTACAGGATGTATTATTTGTTGTTGGACTGGAATTCACTTCTCATAGAATTATTTTCTTTTATTTCATCTTTATTTATTATTTATTTATAGTTTTCATATTTGGTCTAGAGATTTAGTAAGAGAATTAACTAAAAGGTATGAAGTCTTATTAATAATCGTGTTTCTTCTTTTTGGAAGTTTTCTAGTTTCTGAAGCTCTATTATTTGTATCCTTCTTTTGAACATCTTTTCATTTATTATCTTCTCCAACTTTAGGGATGTGGCCAGGAGAAGCTTTCTATCTTCCAGATCCTTGTGAATTAACTTTTGCTAATACACTTCTTTTATCTAATGCTGCTATATCTCTAGGAAATGCTTTTTATTAATAACAAAATTTCATCAGAATAAAATATTTTCTTCACTTTATGGTCATTCCTTGTGTCTTCTCTTTTTATTAGTTTGCAGATTAAAGAATTTCGCATTCTCGCATTATCAATTCATGATTCACCTTATTCTTGATTTCTTACATTTCTTTCATCTATCTATTGGTCTTATTCTTCTAATTCTTCTCTTTTGGAGTTCATGACATGCCTTTTATCTCGTTTGTCTTTTTCATATGTCATCTCATTCTATTTCCGGGAGATCCGGCGGGTTGACAATGATCAGGAGATAATATCCCTTTTCCCTTATTTCCAAGTTATTTTATTTTGCTTATGATCTAATATTTTCTATTTAATGACTCACTGTATATTTGTATTAATTCTGTAGCTTATTGTGTTTATCTTTTCCATCTCTTTCTTGTTGATCACAAAAGCTTGAAAATATTAGAACTGTTTGTTTGTATCTTGTTATTTATTTTCTCTTTTACTTTCCTATCTTAGTATTTTTATCTTTTTCTTTTGTTATTTATTTATATCTTATTATCTTGTTGTTATTATCCTATCATTAATATATTCTTGTCCGGGAAGTAAATCCAGCCCGGAACATTCGTGACAGGAAAACCAAGTGACCAAAAGAACTAATTTCAACAAGTGGCCTGAGAACATGGTTGTTTGCCTCAAAAAACGCCTTCCCGGGCCACTTGTTGAAACTGGCCGCTGTAATCCCTTTGCCTCTTCTGCTAAGCTCCAAAAAAACAAAAAACTGTTTGACCACCAAGTAGCTCAAAAACATACTTATGGCCAAAGTGTGCTCGGAGTTGGCTCGGGGGTTTGTTCGGAAATCAACCAATGCCAAAGTTCGCTCGGAGATTGTTCGCTTGTTCGGAGATTGTTCCGAGCTCGCCCGGAGTCCGTTCGGAGTTTGTCCGGAGTTTGCTCGGAGTTCGTTCGGAGTTCGTGCCCATGCAGGATTTGTTGCAGGTCACTGCTTTCTTTGTGAACACTTGCAATTGGAAGCCCAAAATCTAGCCAAAATGAGAGCAGGATTTGGGCTCAAGAACAACGCATTTTGCTCGTACAGAAGAGGCGGTTTCATAGTTAAGTTCTTCCCGGAAAAAAAAACAGTTCAAACCCTTTCCTCTTGGCGGCCAGGACTCATTCCTGTTTAGACGACTCCAAACCCCTTTCAGCAGGCGCATCAAGCTGTCTTACCCTTAAGTTGCTTTCCCGGCGAACCGAATGAGCCATGAAATTTGGCACGCGATATCATTTTAGGCCATCCGGCGAAGCTAAGGTGGCCATCCCCAAACCCCAAACCGCAGCTGGCTTGCCCGCCTTCGGTGCCTGGCGGGGAATTGCACACAGTCGCAAGATGTCGCAAGCTTCGAAACGGGGCAGGCTGACAGTGCCAGTGCCACCGGAAAAACCACCATATCAAGCTAAGGCTAAGCTCATCCCAGAACCAGCCTAAGCCAACCTCAGAGAAACCTTCCACCATCTGAAACCACCCTAAACGAACCCCTACGAACCGTGAACCCAGCCCGAACCAACAACCTTCCCAAACCTTGAAATAAACCCAAACCGACTCCCAACCCGATAGCAATCCGACAGTGAACCAATCCTAAACGATTCCCGTAGTCTCAAACAAGGCACCCTACGCCCAACAAAGTCATTCCGAACCAACTCTGAACCGACCCTTAAGCAATGCCGAACCAACCGGAGGCCTGGAAGCGACCTGCATCCAACCCCAAACTGCCAACCTGAAACCTCCCCCCTGAGGCCCTTTTCCTAGGCCCACGCTCTGGCCTCGAGTGGCGCGGCCTCGGGCCACACAAGTCCAATAACGGTTCCCAGCGCCCGTAAGAACAATTCAACTCAATTTATTTGTCTCGCGCTTGGGCGATTCAATTCAATGGTCAGTTGATTGGGGTAACCGGGCGAAAAGAGGTACAAGCAATACGGTTATTGCGGGGATGTATTTCCAGTCCATGGTGACTTGACCATTTGAGCCACTTGACCAAAATCCTTAGGAATCCGCTCATTGAGGTTGAAAAACGTTCTGAAGAGTTCGCAAAGTCATAGAAAGACTTAGAAGATAGTCAGGAGCCGCGTGTCTGCCTACCCCCCTAACCGCAAAATACTGATTTCACCAGAAACTGAGTCAAGAACATGCAGCGCGCTGGTGTATTTACATCAAAAACTTGGCCTCGTTCTTGGACAAACATGGCTTGGAACACAAAACCTATCGTCGTTGGGATGCAAACTTCAGCCATATCGGCAACACTCTCAACTTAGATGATGACAAACATTTCTCCCGCGTTGTTCATCACCCGCAGCCCATCACTGGCAATCAATTTCCTCTCACCCCAATGGCCACTTGCAAGACTCGCGGTGCAACATTGGCATACCACCTGCAACATTGGTCAGGCGTGTTCGCAACTGGGCAGAATCGCCATTCATCTGCGTTTGCACATGCTCTCAGGCCCTCTCGATGGCTCTGGAGCAAGGCTTTCGCTGTGCCACACTCGAATGTTCCTCCAATTCCTCCCCATGACTGTTCCTTTGCTGCCTCACCTTTCCAAAGGCGCCCGAAGGTGGTGGCAACACGACCTCTCCATTTGCTTTTGGCACCCACCAAAACCCCCCAGAGAAACAGCGCCCATTTCTGCTCTCAACAAAAACCTACTAAAAAACAACTCTAAATTTCAAACAACACTTCTGCCAATACTATGTTCTTCAGAGTTCCATTCGCAAAGTATGGTAACCTGAAACTGCAAATAGTAACATAGTATTCATTGAGATTGTTAAACAACTGGTTTGCAAAGCTTAGAAAGGCCAGTCCCCACAAATATTGCAACCCCGCGAGTAATCATGGCCCTCTCACCCACTAAAAAAACAAGCCGCAATCACCTTGAGTATTGCAGTCCTATCGGCCAAACAGCTAGAGGACGGGATTATATAATAGGCCCCAGCATATCGCCGATATAGGTGTACCACAACGCTCTCGTCCTTGACACTGGAAGAGGGGGGAGGACCATCAGGAACAATTAAGGTTGTCGCAACCTCGACGTGATAGGCCATTCCCATGATGCTGCCCCAAGGGTTTTCAACAGTGGCTTGTTTGCTAATACCTGATGTGAGAGCACCCCTTCTTTCTGCGCAGGCTTCCTTTGTTTTGGTGTTTTTGAAGGGTGGCTGCGATATCTGTATTTCTTCCGTGCACGAGAGGCGAAGGCTATTGAAGTTATCCCTGGTAAACCAGCAAGCAACAGTCCATATCAGGCTCGTCTTTCTCTTGCCTTTCCAGCAAACATGCACACAAAGCAATCTCGAGAATCAGCAAAAAGTTCAGGCCACGAAGCACTAAGTCTTCAGCTAATGCTGCCTCCTAATGCCGAACACCGTTTGTTGCTTTTCTGGCGGAGAACACTGGTTCGCACGGCGTATAAGTCTGGGCTGGTGTGTTCAAAAGGGCGCTTTGCTAGCGTTAATGATCACAAGTTATTGACTGGTCACTGAGTCCTTTCACAAGGAGGGCTTGACACGCAATCACTTTGCCTGGCTCGGCCCAAACCGCCAAGTTGCGCCAGGCCATTCACCGTTTGTTGATTCTCTCGAGCCATGGAATTTGCGAGCGCACAACAATTCCCGAATTGGCGCTCCCCGGGCTCAAGGAAGCTCTCCCGTCATCAATTCTCTCCTGGCACGGTCTTCACTCTGGCTCAGGTAAACGCGCAAAGCCGAAATGTCAATTATGAGCCCAGAAAGGCCCAGCCTGACTGGATACAGGCAATGGTCGACATCCAAAATCACACTATCCACAACGTCAATGATATCCATGCAAGGTCTAGGAAGGGAATAGTTCGTACAAAGTAGTCTTGTGATCTGCTGGGTGTCTGTGGAAGATCCGTGGCCGCGCAGGTGCTGTTCATGGGGTGTCACTGGGGAGTCCGCTGCATGTCTATGACCTAGACAAGCACATCGCGGCCTTCTGATGAGCTCTCCGAGTCGGTTTCCTGGCGCATACACAATGAGGTTAAGTGATGGTGTAGCAACAAAACACAACTGAATTGGGTGGTGACCACAGGCTCTGCAACATTTCGCTTCAAGAGCGCTTTCAGGACGCATGCAATCTGCGGAAGTTTGTTCCAGTGACGGTTGAGCAAGTTGAGCTGGTGCGCTCAGCGTGGCTTAATCAATCCAGCATCAGCGCGAAGCATGTCGGAGCATGAACAGCTGCGCATCCGACCCGAAATCGACCGCGCGCGCAAACTACTAACTCCCGCCCACGACCATGTTTGCACATCAAAGAAGAACAATGCCTTGGCAACCATTTTTTCTTTGCCATATTTGAGTCTGTTTCCACTCAGTGACGCGTGTTGGCACCCTGGTTGACTTGGAAGGGGCACCTGCACAAGCTACAACTTGCGTGTTTTGGGATGTTGCAATGTTCAACTTGGATTGGATGCACTTGAGCCTGGCTCAGCAGCAATCTGAAAGTGCTTGCTCGGTTTGGCATCAACTTCCGGCCTCGCCTGCCGGCGACAGCAGGGCAGCACCTTTGAGGCAGAGATCAGGGCAAACTTCAGAGGCTGAAACCTTTCAGGCTAGAGATCCCAGGCTGGAAGCAAAACCTTCTTTCATGGCAATCACCCTTGCTGGGGTGTGCCGAATGATTCAGGAAGGGCTGTTTCCAACACCGAATTCACAATTCCCTCTGTTCGCCGGAGCGGTAGCTGGGGCCGCTAGGGACTTAGACCAGTCAAGATAATGTACGGGCACCATGAAACAAACACATTCACAATTATCAATGCCCTGCCAATTGTGCGCTAGGCAACAAGTTATCAAAGACACAGCGCTCAACAAATCAACGCCCAGGCGTTCGGAGCCCATCTTGGCTGACCAAGTGCGGCGGGCGGCACGGGACAAAACTGGCAATTGATTTGTCATGCGCGACCGTTCATGTTTTCCTCACATAAAAAAAAAATCCTACCCAGTCGAACCTTGACATTGGCCAAGAAAAGCTGCAGTGACAAGAAGGCTTACACATGAATCAAGGTAAATGGCGAGGCGCTGCGTCATCATTCATCATAATGTTGACCCCGTATTAGTCCGTACCCCCCCCTTGAAGGTCAGAAAGGTTATTTGATTTTGTCTTGCTGGAGATTCCTGTTGAGATCTGGAATTGAGTTTCCAATTGATTTAGTATTGCTGGAGCTTCCTTTTGAGATCTGGAATTGGGTTTCCATTTGATTTAGTATTGGTGGGGCTTCCTTTTGAGATCTGGAATTGAGTTTCCATTTGATATTACGGGGGGTTATACGCTTCGGGGTGTCGGATACTTCCTAGAGGATAGAGGATAACCCCCCCCCCCCTTATCCGACGTCTGATACGTAGGTCTTGGGGGGGGGGTCCCCCACGTACCGCGACAGGAAAGCAACGGGAAATGAAAGGGAAACAAAGGAAATGACTCGCAACGAAAGAACGGGACATACATGGAAAATGAAGCGGACATACGGAGAAAATGTCAGGGCATGAGGGGGGAGTTGAAAGGAATGGAAGGGACATGACCAGACATCATGGGAAACGTGAAAAGGACAAAGGGGAAATCAAGGGGAAAGCCAGTCGTGAGATGACAGTTCAGGGTGATAAAGGGGCAGCGCCCGGACATCGAGGCAACTCAGGAGGGACGTGACGCTGCAACGTACAAACAGAGAGAGCGAGAGAGAGAGAGAGAGACAGAGACAGAGACAGAGACAGAGACAGAGACAGAGTCAGAAAAAGGGAGAGGACAATGTTGGCGGACTGAGCCGGAGGCTCTAAAGTTTCTTGGGGGTGTCAGGGGCTAATGTGGGGTACCCTTTGAAACCTTCTAAACTTGTTTTTTTAGTAAAGGATTCAAGAAGACATCGGCCGTCTCAGAACACTTTTTGTTTTGTGGTTTGGGCAGGTCCAAAAGCATCCACCAAGCTTCAAGATGAGAGTAGGAGGTGGAGATGAGAGCCCTAAGCAAGGCGGCAGTATCAGAAGAAAGCGTGAGCCCATTTGAGCCAAAGCACTTTTTCAGGACACCATCCAGAGAAAGCATGGCAAGCAGCATGAGTCCACAATCCTCAACATCAGCAGCATCAGCTAGCACCAAAAAACAGTTTACAATGGAATGAGCTCAAGAAGCAGTGGAGAAAATGAGGGACCGGTTTAATTGGGGTGGGTTTTTTGGATCCATTTTTTATTTGGGGGGGGGTAATTTCTGAGTTATGAGTTGTTTAGTATTGGGGGTGTCACCCGGACCGGACTAATATGGGGGGAGTTTTAACACAACGTCAACATTAATCGAATCATGTGCCCATGAGCTGGACCCATCATGGAACACATTGGCCTCCCAGATCATGCTGTTGCTGCTTCGCACTGCCCGGTTATGTTTGGAAGCAACCAGATGCGTTCCAAGTCACGCATGTGGCAGATTCTCCAGCATGTCCCTCCACTGCAGCGACCACGGCCTCAGCTGCCAACAGCTGCCGGAATAAAGCAAATGTTTCACGTTTCGGGACACTTTTCAGCGTGTGGGCGCATCGACCACTCAGAAAGGATGGAGGTTTCCCAATCTAGTCCTGAGGGGGGAGGCGGCCCGCGCGGTAATTTGATGACGTTCCACTAAAAGCAGTCTTCGCGCAGCCGGTGTGGAAAACAGGGGTCAAATCCCGCTGCCGGCTGCTTCTGCCTCCGTTTAGCAACAACGTTGAAAAATACTGTGTTGTTCATTTTGCTTGGCGCGCGCAAACTGTTTCGCAACGTTGTTGGCTCAGCAGCCTTTTAGCGAAACGGTTGCGAAAACACACTGTCTGTCTTTACCGGCGCATACGTGCTTCTCACTGTTTTTAGCGGGCGCACACGTGGAGATTTCAGCTGAAATCCTGAAAAATGTGGCCCCAGTCCAGCTCGGTCTTCGGCGTCATGTAGGCCAAAACCAACAGACAACCAAACCCAACCACCAAACAGGCAAACCATTGGCGAGTATCAACCAGGAAACCAAGAAAAGAAAGGCCCTTTTTCTGGATGCCACTTGCTTTGCGCGTGCCCCGTTCTTAGGGGAGGCCAGGGAAGAGCACGCGCCACGGTGAAATGTTGGCGAACTGAGCCGGAGGTTCTAAAGTGATTTGAGGAAGGGCGCGTGCAGCATGCAGCCACTCCAGCAAGGCCTGCAACGCAACGCACAAGTGTGCTTTGCGTTCCCGCTTAATCTGAAACATTGGGTCCGGAAATGTGGTAGCCGGGATACATGCGCTAAAGCATCACAGCGGCTGCTAGCAAAAGGGAACACCAACACAGTCTGTTTCAATGGTGGCTCTGAACACTTCGCCGGATCTGAAAGTGTGCTAAATGTTGTGAAGTTCATGATCTGCGCTTCACTGGGCGACGCGCAACTTTTAGTGCTCGAACAGCTGTGCTGGCAACAAGCCAACTTAACTTTTCAGAACATGCGTGTTTCGCCCCACGTTTGGAAGCTTTGCCGGGATAGCAGGAAAACCGTTGAAGCTACTAAAATGCGGCGCTGTTTCCTTGCAAGGGGGCTGGCAAGCTCCTGAGCGCGAAGATTTGGCCAGAACGGGCCCCCCAAAATGGAAGGTCCAATTGCTGAACGTTTCGCTGGGTTTGGAACGCCGCAACGGAACCGCCCTGTGCATCCGAAGGGTTCTAGGAAAATATTGCTACCGCCTCAACCCTCCCGAGGACTCCGCGGACCACCCCGAACCTACCCTCCGCCTGGCCTGCGCCACACAAATCCGAAACCTTCCTTGACCGAAGCCACCTGCCTGGCCTGCCCTGCATTAGTGCGCGACATTAAGCGTGGATGCGAGAAATGAATGCGCGTGCGAGCTCCGCGAAGACCTGCCTAAAGTACCGCGCCTGCCAGAAAAGAAGCAACATGAACGCGCGCGACACAGTTAGCTAAGCGTGCGAGACCAAAATTGACCACGCTCGCGAGACCTTGAAAAAGGTGCGTTCCATGTTGTGTAACGCGTGGCCAGGGCGTGTTCTCTTGAGATGGGGGATAGTGACTGCCAAACATGACAAGCGCAAATTCTGGATGCGGGATCGGAAGTTCCCAATCGGAAATTGGGCCAGGCTGTTTATGCATGAATGAGGACTCCGCTGTCCAGTGATACTCCGCTCTTTGCCTCTTGCGGGACACTCGCCTTGAAGACCAACAAAGCGGAGCACAACTTGCACAAGAAAGCGTCCAAGAAGCATCCAGAGCTCATAGACGGGCTCATCCAGCATTGCGTTCAACTACTTGCTGACACATAGCATGGCTCATCTCATGTTTAGCAACACTCGGGATGGAAGGATTGTGCGTTACCACTTCCTTCTTGTCAGAACCCAAAGCCTTTCACAGCAACCCCGCCCCAGCTGCCCCTCACGGCCCGGGCAGAGATAGAACGGCGCCCCGCGCGCATCTCCCGCCTTCCGATCTGCAGAGGGCGCGCCGCTTTCGTTTGTTTTTTGTTTTTTCTGGCCCCGTTGTGAATATTGTCCGCGAAGGGCTCAAAATTGATTCCTGCCACTCGTTTTCGGTGTGGCGGGAGGACAACTTGGAGGGGTCGCAGCTCCGGCGTCCCACGAGGCTCAAAAGCTCAAAACCCTTCCAAATGTTTGACACTGGAGCCACCTTTCCGAATGAAATGAGGTTGAAACCAAAGGTGGAAGCTCCAACAGTTACCTGACAGTTCCCTCTTCTACCTGGCGCTTGAATCTGCCCTGAAAGCACCTGGTCTGAGCCATTTTAGCTTAAACTAAAAGTTCCACGCACGCGACTGCGCAGATAGTTTGCCAAATAGTTTCCCTGGAAGCAACCCAAAAAGGGCACCCTGAAAACAGAAAAGCAAGTCCAATGTTTGGTCCTGGCTGAAACAGCGGCGGCAGCTCAGGTCGCGACTGCTCGCCGGAGAATGAGGACAAACGACTCTGTGCGCTGGGGGTCCGGTTCTTGCAGCTGCCTGTCACGCTAATACCCCCCTTTTAAGCGCGTAAAACTCACGTTGGGGGGTTGTAAAATATAGGTTCTAAATTAACCCCGGCGCCGGCTTGCACAGCTACCAAGACAAGGACCTCGGGTTACCCGTTTTGACAACATTGCGCTGATGATGTTTCAACCAATGGAGAAGAATGCGGGCACGTACAAGTACGAGCCAATGAACCCCCGAGACACTGCGGCATGCCTTGCTGAGTAAGAGCCACTCACAAACTCGGTGACTGTTGTCTACACCAAGGTCTCGGCGTCCTGTTCGGGATTACGAAAGCTAGACTCCTGACGAATGCTGGAAGACAAAGTGCAGCGTGAAACCAAACAAAGACTAAAACATCCAACGAATCATGCTTCGATGTTCCCAGTGCACGTATGTGCGCGTGACCACTGTGAGAACAAGACAAGCAAAAAACAAAACAAAAAACAAAAAACAACAGAGCCCGCACCAAAAACAGCCTCAGACACCCTTCCAAGAAGCACCCATCATTGCGCCAGAAATGGTTGACGATTTATTCTTTGTTTGTTGTTTTTCCGATGTTGGTGCTGCCACACGCACATGCACAGGAACAGCCAGACGTGTTTAATGTTTGTGTTTGCCGGTATGTTATGGTTTTGCAAAGAACAGTGTTTCACACCGCTATGAAAATGATTATTCAGACTTTTGGTCTTGGCGAGTTGGTGGACTAGCCTGCCGGGGCTTTGAGAGCTTCTTTTGGTACTTGCCGATCTGCGATCTGCTTGATCATCAAATCAAACATAGATTTGCTGCGCGCACCAACATTGTTGGGCATGTTCCTCGTACGTGCTCAAACATGTGTGGCGCATGTCCAACTTACTTCTAGCATATTAATGTCTAGCCTAACTTCTTGCATGCTCCGAGCGCATGCCTAGCAAACATGCAACATGTGTTTAGCCCGTGTCTACCAGCTTCTTTTGGCTTAGGCTGTTGTGCGCTAAAATGTTCACATATCTCTGGCATAAGCCTGTCATAGCTCCACATGCTTCCCCCGCGCGGGCAGCCGACCATGTTTCTTGTCTAGCGCAACGCCAAAGTTGGTTTGATGTCGTGTTGGGCTCGTTTAGACAAGCTCCTTTCAAACAATCAGCGCAAAAGCACTTGCAGGGCGAAAGCGTGTCTCTACTTGCAGCACATGAAGAGCTGGATCGTTCCAACGGGCCATGGTTCGCTTTGCGAAGGTGTCCCGCTCGCTTTGTTTTCTGGCTTGGGCGCCGCCCCAAAAATGCCTTGAGACCTCGCAGGGCAAGGCTTCCAAAACCACTGATACAGTTCTTGCTGTGTTTAGTTATTGCTTGATTCAGTTGTCGCGCGGTCTACTCTCTCGCAACCGTAAAGTCGGGGCGATGGCGAGAGCTTGCCGAAGGCGTAGGGTCTGCTCTGTCACATCTCCGGGCCACTGGCGCAAGAAACCAACGCCTGGTCTGTCACAGCCGTCTTTCATCTGGTTTCTAGAAACTATCTCGCTTTGATCTCGTCAAGTTGGGGCCGTCTCGTTTCACAGCAAAATGGTGTTCCAGCCGTAGTTGTCGGTTAGCTGGTCGCCGCTGGTGGCTAAAAGTATGTGCATGATGGCTTGTTGCGAAACTAACATAGTACAAGGTTGCCATCGCCCTAGAATGTTTCCAGTCTACGCCTGGCTTACTTCCAATGCCTCTAACAAACAGCCGGGGAAGGCCAAGTTGCGAAACTTGGCATGCGGATCTTCAGACTCACCACCCATCCTGACCTACTAGACCCTGTCAAGCATCAAAAGCCTCCCTCCCCTGAACAGCCCCCTGTCTCCTGTCAACCCTGTAATTTTTGGAGGGCTGTCCTTCGCAAAACTTAGTTAAAACAAATTGGATTTACTAGCTTGCTAGGGCGTTCCAGCTCTGGCATGTCATTTTGGCATATGGAAATCATGGATAGTTGCAAGGAAGAAGGATACTCATGTGGCCTACATCCGACTGGGCCAACAAGCCACTTTGGACAAAAAGCGCCGCTGGCCAATACGGCCAAAAATGCGAGTGCTCATGTGCTGCAAATCAAGGTATAGAGAAAACAACTTTGATGTCCATAAATGATCACGCATTGCGCGGCGAAGGCTTTACTTACGCAACCTGGTCTGTGCAATTCAATGAAACCTCTAGCACATGTCCGTTTGGAGCTAGCTAAGGATCCAAACGATGGATTCTGAGGATGCGGTGCTTGACAATGATCGCACGCTTTAGGCCCTGACAATTGGGCATGACTTGTCCCCGCGCTTGGCTGCATTCGCACCGGGGTGACGGGGCAAAAAAGCCGGCGGCGATCAGGTTGGCTCACATTGTCTGAGCAGGCACTCGGGGCTCGATTTGCGCTGCGGCCCAAGTGCGTTCATAGATACTACTTTGGATCCTTTGAGTTCAATCAGTGCTCAAGCAATCTCAAACATGTGACGCGCATAGATCTAGCGCATGCCTACCGTGGCTTTACCCTACACAAAGAAGAGGGGTATCGTGTTTCGAGTGTACTCCCAGCATACATCTGGAGCATGTCTAGCACATTTCGAAATATGTCTAGGATATTGTAGCATATGAATAACATAATGTGTATGTGTATATATGGTACCCCCTGGAATACTCAGGTTTTTTGCCAGAAATTGACATGTTGGCTGTAAAAATGCATGCTAAACACGCGTTCCAGCTTCTAAAATGAAGCTCAAAAAATGCAATCCAGGATGTGCTAGCACGTGCCAGCACATACCAGTTTGTCCTCAGGATGGATTGAAGATTTCCAGAACACGTGGCCTGAGAATCTTCAATCCAGGATGCGCTAGCACGTGTAGGTACAATTTGGAGAATTTCAGAAAGAGTCGTCAGAGAATCTTCAATCTCCCATCCAGATCCTGGATTGCTCTGAGTGCGGGTTTGAAGAATTCAAAAGGCAGACCGGGAGAGCACGTTGTCAGAATCAAAATGTGGATGTGCAATTGCACTGCCTGCAATTGGCCAGGGGGGAAAAATGTTGCTGACACCCTTACGGTTCTTTTGTGGACTTGAGGGCTGGCCAGGATGGAAGGTTCTCAAATAGAAAATCTGGTAGATCTTCGATCTTCAATGCAGGGGGCGAGACCTTAATGAGTCTAGAACAAACTGTCAAGTTTTGGGGGGGCCAGGATTGCGTCTATTCTAAACACGTGTTTGTGGAATCTTGTATATTCGATGTTCGATTCAGGGCAACACGATCTGAGCAAATGCTGAAAACACAGCGTTTTACAGAATTAATGCAAAGAATAAGATCTATGATTGAAAACACTGAGATTGGTTCCAAATCTATTTGGCAATAACAATAGCTATAGCTATCTTCTCTAGTTGATTTTGGAACGCGCAAGAAACTGCAAACGAGTAAACTTGAATTCGGTTTGAACTCGAAAGCATTTCTTAACGGATATTCTTCCCTTACTTGAATTTCAATACTTTCTTGAACCAACTTGGACAAGCAACACGCACATACGGGATAGTTGCTTTGCAACATATGTTTCAAATAGACTGAGCTAGCATGTCAAGAATTATGCACAACACCCGGGTTAACATGTAAATGCAACTGCGCAAGCACATGATTTAGGAATGAGTTCCTTTTCCCCAAGTTGATGATTTGCTGAATTTCGCTGCCAAACAAATATAATAAACACCAAATAATAGGGCTGCTACAGGCGCGCCGAAGCTGCCAGAACATACCTCGCGCACTACTCCTGTACTGAACAGTTGTGTTTTTTGAGCTGGAGCTGCCAAAATGCACTTTGCATACTCCAATGTGACTTTAAGTGCGCTTCGCGCACGCCAGTGTGACGGCCCCGCAACTTGCAACTCCTAGTCAACGTTGAGCTTAACTTCTGCTTGCTTGGCATTTGCATGGAGAGCGTCCAGTCAGTTCATTTCAGTTCGACCCCCAGTCTGGCCAAAAACCTGTTCTGGCCAAAAACCTAAGTTCAAGGGCGGCTCGCAGAAATATCAGCGTTGCCACCCCCCGCCCAACGGTCATGGGTCAAACAATACCCCCTCCCTGCGGTTGTGGTCTTGTGGTGGTTTGGGCTTGGTTTGGGCTTGATTTAGAATTGGTTCAGGGTGCATTTAAGGTGCATTTTTGGTTAGTTTAGGGTTGGTTTATGTTGATTTAGGATTGGTTTAGGTTTAGAGGTATACGGTTTAGGGTTTGGTTTGGGGTGTATTTAGGGTGTATTTAGGGTTGGTTTAGCGTTAGTTTAGGGTTGGTTTATGGTTGGTTGCGGGTCGCCTTGTCCTGGGGGTGGGCGTCCGGGGGCTCGGGGGCTCGGGGTCTCGGGCCGGGGGGCGGGGTCCCCCAAGGACCCATACCGCCCATACCATCTGGGGGGGGAGAGGGGTAGCAACACGGAACACGGGACCATATATACACAAATCGCGCATAGTTAAAGCATGTCGATAGCACGTGTCTGGCATATTGTCTGGCACACATTTACCAACAATGTCTGTCATAGTCCTGGCAAAGCCCTAGCATGGTTCCAAATTTCTGCCACAGGCCTGCCGTATGTCTAGCATATATTTGCTACATTAATCGCATGGAACTAGCACATGTCTGGCTCACGTTCAGCATATGTTTGGCTGATTTCCAGTACAGCTCGATTGTACCTCTATCGCGCCTCGCTTATTCATATCAAACGGCCTTCCTATGATACATCTACTGTGTGCCCTGCACATGATTTTCAAATGTTTAGCATGTGTTTAGCTTAACGCCATGGCAACATGACACCGTTCCGGCTCAATAATTGGTTATTTCGCACACATGTTGTGCACAAGTTGTCATTGAGTGAGGAAATGATAATGACAATACTTTGTCTAGCAACGGTCGCACCACAGGACAACACTTTATCTTTGCTATACATGGCGTGGACATGAAGGGTGACCTCGGCAAAGGTGTTCTTAGCTTCCAAGTTACTCCGAATGCCGGAGTGGACAAAGCCTTCAAAGCCTTTAAAGGACATTACTTTGTGGACAAAGCCTTTAAAGCTTCGGGTCCAATCGGGTCCGCACGGAAAGGCCTCCGCCATGCCTCGTGTCTACCACCTCGGCTAGGCACAGCCCACAATCAAAAGACCTCATCTCCAACCCACTCGTGCACCCGGTCGTCGAAAACATTGTGCTTTTTGTGTTTTGCACCTTTTCTCTTGAAACAGTGTGCTTCCGTGACCCAACTTCCCGCTGCCCGTGGGGAATCGTCCAGGTTCAATGACTCACAACACACAGCCTCTGTTTTGACAGGCTGAAACCTGCTCCAGTCCTCAAAGGGTTGGGTTCCCAACTTCCAGTCTAAGTCTTCACCGTGAAATATCACACAATTCCAACAAATCTTCAAGTAACTCGGTTCTCCCTTTTCCGGCAAGGAAAGCAACAGGCGCCAGGGCGCCCACTGTAAGTACACAGGTTAGCTGCTCGCTTTCCCATCCAAATGCAAGTTGCAGGACTTTGCATTCAAAACTCAGCGCCTTACGCAATGAGGTTCTTTCCCATCGAACTCAGTCGCCTTGGCTCCCGGACGCCCAGCAAAGCCTGGGACCGCCGCTTCAGAGCGTTGGCCTGCAACACCCGAGAGTCATTCGGGCGATAGGAATCCAGGTCTGAGAGGATAAAAGCAGATCAAGGCTCCCTCCCATGTGTCTAGCGCAGGCGAATCCCCTTCTTAAGACAGTGGGATGAGTAAAGTTGGGAGCAATGCATTGTTCAGGAGCTGCAGCGCTCTGCCGGCCATGTGTTCTCTTGAGGGAATTTTGGTCAGCCGGAGGTTGCAGGATGCAGGTGCTTGAAAGAACAAGTGTCAGCCAGACACATCAACTCCCGGTGGACATGAACCAGTCTTTTTCGAATTGTGTTGCATTTTTACAACGTCCCGTCCAACTTTTTTGCAGGGAAACAGCCCCGTCAGCATAGTTCTCCCTATCGATTCCCTGCTCTTCTGGTGCAGGTGTTCAGGGTGCCCGTGTTTGGCCGTGCAATTCTCAGCACATCTTCAGCACGCTTTCTGCATACTTGAACTCCTGGCACTCTCTTAGGACCCCTGCCCGGTATGTGGTAACTGTCCTGAGCAGCAAACAACCACGTCCAAATGGTGTAGCACTTGAAGAAAAGTTCATCCATCCCGTGGCCTATTTCTGCTCGACAGCAACTTCGCTGAACCTGCTCACCCAAAACAAGCTGCCACACCTTCATCTCAGTCTATGCGAAAACAGCACAAGGCCGCTTCGTGCGGGTGACAAGGAATCCCCCGTCCCCAGAATTCCACGTGATGTCGCTGGCATTCCGACTCGACAGGAATAGAATGGAACACACTAGCATGAAGATCGGGCATGTTCAAGGCTCTGTCTGCGAGGCTTGTTCTTTCTCAGCTCAGGATCATCTTCGCTAAATACGCACAGCTGCTTTACCTGGTCCCCCCATGCCGACAAACTGTCTGAACACCTCTCTTCCAAACCTGGGGACAAGATCAACATATCTTCCAACACGGTCTTGCCAAGAGGAACGAGCATGTTCCTCAGACATGCGACACATCCAACACACAGCTTTTGCTTCCAGGTCCTCGAACATTAATCAAACGACAAGTCATAATATGCAGCCAGGCTCCTCTGGAATGCCACCAAGAGTCGCTGCAGATGATGCAGCACGGTGGCAAATTGGGCAGACCTCAAGTCGTCACTTGCAACGGGCTCATTGGATGCCCAAAGTTGACAAAGCTGGATCCTGCTGCAAAAGGAGCCGAATGCCAAAACGCGTGCTCAACAGACCTGAATTAATCCATTCTTAATATTCGAGGTCGGGCACTCGAAACAACTCGGCCAGCTCTCCAACTGAGCTATGTCGTAGAGTTGTTTCTTACGCCACCAGCTTACGCCACCTTTCGCGCGTGGAGTTGTTGCTTACGCGCAGGTTAATATGGCTCAACTCTTACTAAACACGTAAACGGAGGTTTTGGACGCTGCTCAACTGGCAACTGAATCAGTGCCGTCTGCCACTTCAAACGCGTTCCCAAGGGGTTAGAACAATAGCTTCAACTGTTGAAAGGTCCTCATGGTTTGCATCCCGTACTTCAAAATACAGGGAAAGAGTGCACCAAAGAGGAAAACTGTGCAAGAAATCAGGAGGCTTCATGCAACACACTCTTCTCCGACTTGTCCCACAAGGGGGTCGTTTTGTTGGGAAGGTCCTAGGACAGACCCTTGCTTGTGAAGGTGTGGCACAAGCTCTGTTGAGATCACAGCTACCTAACAAGGAAAAACCCGAAGGCCATAAAGTCGGGTGGCCCGCCCGGTTCTGGGCGGCACAAATCATCTCTGTCTCTCTCCGGCTCTTAGACGCTGGGCACTGCAGGCTTCGCAAAGCTCACATTGCCAGAAGCCCACGCCGGCCTCTCAAGCCACAAGCCCTTGGCTAGTCCGACGACGCGCATGACTCAAACAAGAGAACGCACATTGTTTGTAGGGCAAGTACCCCACGGATTGATTCGAAATGAAACCAGATGCCAAAGCACCTGCAATTTATGGCGCTGCGCGCGTCTTAAGTGGATGATTCCGTTTGACTGTGCTTCAGTCACTGACTATGTGTTGTTTGCCACGGTCCATTTGACTTCAAACAACTCCAAAGCAGACCACAATCCATTTACACCCTGAAATGTCCTGGGAAATTGCTTGGAATCCGCAAACCAAACTTCAATGTACGTGGGAATGCGCTAATGCCTCAGTAGGCACGCCCGACCTGGATTGCAAGGCGGTTTTTTCCTAGATTGCGCTCCTTATCGCAAGAGCCTCAAGGGCAAATTTCTAGGCAGCGCATAGCGCTTGAAAGCGTGCAACTGCTGCCTGTGGCACCAAAAGGATTGCTGCGACGCAAAGATTACATTTCTGTAAGCCGATCTTCGATCCCAATCACGGAAGCAACAGTGGCAAACAGGATCCCCGTTGCCACTCTACTACTTGCTGAAAACGCCATTGAGCGTGCGCAAAAACAAGAGGCTTTGCCCTTGCTACAAGACATGCGCACCCTCCCCCCCTCTTTCATGAGCGAGTGCTATCTTGTGGAGTCTTCCAATGTCCTTCTTGCAACCTAACACATGAATACCTCATGCAGCATAATTACAGCACGCACAATGCATGAAAGTTTGTCCTGCTTAATCTGCGTGAAGAGATGCGCAAAAAATGCTTGAACAAAATCAGACTCGGCAAGGTCATCATTCCAAATAGGATTTTGCCTAATCGTTCAGTACGCAAGGAATTCGGAGCCGGTCTCTGGAGTGGCAACTTGCTCACTTGGGCCCCCTTCGGCAAGACGAAAAACATTCAACACTGCCCCTCAAGTCTCCTTTTGACCGGTCACCCCAAACAACCTAGCTCCTTCCCAAAACCAACCACCTGAAACTGAGCCTAAACCAACCCTAAACCAACCCCAAACAAAGCCTCAACAAAATCAACAAGCAAAAAAGACCACCCTAAGCCAACCCTTAAACCTCCACATTGAGTTCACCTATGTGAGATTCGACCTTATTCATGAACCCACAGCTTTAACCCACGCCGAATTTACCTGGCCCACTTCAGCGCAAAACCCACCAAACAACTTCCTAAGCTGACTCTACGTATACTCGTAACTCGTGAAGAACCCCAAACAAACCCTAGTCAAACCTTAGGCCAAACCTAAACCGACCTGACAACCCTGAATCCGCCCTAAATCACACAACCACCCTAGACCAACCTTAAACCAGCCCTAAGCCCACCCTAAACCTGCTGCAACTTCAGCAAACCCAAACGGAACCCTGTTTCAACCACAAACCCAACATAAACCCTAAACCAACCCTAAAGAAACACTGACTGCACCTGCCTGAGCCAACCCTTTCCACGTTACGTTGAGTTAACCTGGAAACGCGCCCTAAATCGTTGTGCGCCAAGCTCCAGTGGCTGTAGTCCAACACGTCCTCACGTCCGGACGTCTCTAGGCAAGGTATGTCTGCAAAACCTGGCTCGGCCACGCTTGGCGTCTCTTTGACCATGGCGCGCCAAGTATACCCTGTGAATTCAGACACGCTTGAAAGCATGACAGTTCGACATGTGCTCACTGCCTGTTTTTTTTGGTTTTCTCTTCTTTTTTTTCTGAGGCTGAACACACGCCCAGGGAACGTCAGCCAGAAGAACGGAAACTGATGCTGAATCCTGCTTCTCGGTAACTGTTGGTAAGTGTTGGGTTTTGCAGTCATCAAGCTGGCACCACAGAGCGGAGAGCCATGCTGCCGGTTGCAATAAATGTTGGATCAGGAATAATTGCCCATGTTATATCGATGCGCAACTCCTGTTCAGGTCAGATTTCAGAGTCGCATGTTCAAATACCGCTTGCAAATCTCCATTCTGCAGGCCAGTCCAGAACTGTTCCCATGCGCATGCCACGGGCACAGGGTGAGCCTTCGGAAGCCTTCGGAAGCCTTCGGAAGCCGACTTTCCGGACTCAGGCCGTGAAGAATCGGGGCGACAGCTTCGAAAGGCGCGGCACGGGGACTCGCACGGTGTGGGCCGAGGCCCAGTTGATGATCGCCGCATGGACGCCCCAAAGCCTTGGAAAGTCACTGGGTTGGCCCACGCAACGTTTCACATCTATTCCCATTGATTGGCGCTTATTGAGGGAATGTTCCCCGTTGATTGGAAGCTCTCTGCTGAACGGCGTACAGATTGCAATGACTCCAGGCATCGTTGGCATCCCAAATAATCACGAACAAATTACGCACAGAACCCTCAATTGAAGACGTCCACTTTCCAGAGCCAATGCCACCAGAGGGTTGAGACAAACAACAAATGAGCTGGAAAAATCCGCCGACGCCAGTCGAGCGTGTAGATGGCAGTCCGCAACTTGAAGGCTTTTGGGGCTGCCACTTTTGGGCATGGTGCGCTGGGTATTGGGGCTTGCGTGCTAAAAATCTGCGTTTCGCCTAGGTGTCTACGGGGGGGGTTCCCTCGGACGCGCAGGATCTGCATCCCCGGCATCATCAGGATTATTTTGCTGCCATGAGTTTGTTGCGATGTTGGAATTGGCCTGTTAGGGGTCTGGGTGGGGCCAAGTGCAGTGATACGTTGAGGAACTGTTTGAATTTTCAAAAATGAGTGTTTTTTGCAACTCCCCGCCTGTACAGAGCAGTTACTGCGTAACATACCCTGCATTATCGTGCGTTTGGAAGTCTATTATTGGGGTATGTGAGGGGGGTTGCTAGTATCTGCTTTTGATGGTTGATTTTAGGGAATATCAGGAAGAGAGCAGCTACCCCCCCCAAAGCCACCCCCCCCAAATGAATAAGCACCAACCCTGCGCAGCCAAGCACGGTGAAGGGGAATAAGCCTTATTAAGCCTTAATAAGCCTTATTAAGCCTTATTAAGCCTTAATAAGCCTTATTTACTGGTTATCGAATGTGGCTTAATAAGGCTTAATAAGGCTTAATAAGGCTTAATAAAGCCCAAACAAGCCCTGCCATTTCGGCAGCCTAAAGGCCATGGTCACACCGCAACTCTTCTGCATGTGTAGCGCCATTTAGAGGCCCCCTCTTTTCAAAAGGGGCGAGAGCAGGCGCGGTCCCAAAAGAGGGTCCCGGGGTGCGTGGTCAAGCCTTATTTTTTTTGGGGGGGGGAGCTTCAAAATTGCGCTATTTGCACAATTCTGGAGCTCCCCCCCCCAAAAAAATAGCACGATTTACAGGAGCCCCAAAAAAGTGCTGAAACAGGGACCGAAAAGAAACCCTGAAGCCTGTGCGGCGCGTGCCCGGAACACGTGTCATCTCACTCTCTCATGATTCCTGAAACCTCAGTCAGTTGAGAAGGAGCGTCTAGCCCTTATTCTTTTGGGGGGGGTAGCTTTGGGGGGGGTAGCTCATCACTACCTGAGAATATCAAAAAACCTGGTTTTTGAACTTTTTTGTGGCCAGCCGGCTGCATTCCCAGCATTCCCGACATCTTTGGTATTTTCTGTGTTTGTTCAATTCTGCGTGTCTGAAAGTCTTGAAATTTTGGATGCGAAGATTGGGTCTGTTCCTGGACGCGGGGCGCGTCACGGAACGGGCCTCTCGCGGCACCGCGGCTACAGCGCCGTACGCATGCAGGTACATTCGAACATGACACGGATGCAGGCGACAGATGAGCTGCAGAAACACCATGCACAAGTTCACAGGCAACAACAGCTTGCTTGGCATCTACATGCAGTTCAACTGGTACGTTGTGTGGTTGCATCCCTTGCGCGTCCAGCATCCCCAGCATCACTTCCATGAAAAAATAAATGAAAAGCGTCTTAAAATCCCTTGCGCCCCACTGGCGTCGGCGGACCGCGTAGCGATTTCCATAAACCCATATTAAAATTATTATCCTAAGTTGTTTTCATTGCCAATCCAAGCGGCGGTCTTCAAAAGCATGAGGTCCCCCAATAGCGGGCTTTCTTTTTCGGATCGATCCAGATTTGGACCTCCCAAAGCCACCTCAGTAAATCCCAAAAAGTCATATTTGCAGCAATTGCGCATTCTTTGTGGGCTTGCTCAAAACATAAAGGCGGTTTGATCCAGGCACTCTTCAGCAACGGGAAAGCAAACAAATCCATGACAACGCTTTGTTCTTACGGTTCCATTGGCCAAACGAAAGCCAAACGAGAAGAACAGGATGGATAGGGGTGCCAAACATGTACGCGCACAGCAGTTTGCCACAGGATCCTCTGCCAACGAACTCCCACCTCAACGCCTCAGCCTCACTCAGGAAGTTGTCTTTATCACTGTGCCTCGCACACTACGCTTCACCCACACCGCGTCTCGGGCAAATTGCAACTTCAGGTGGGAGCCAAAACATGAGCGCTGCTTAGCTAAAACAAACATGATTCTATGCATTGGGCTGCTGCGATGACGGTTTCGGGCTGCCTTAAGGCGTGGTAACTGTCTGGTACTGTTGCTGAAACAACCCAGCCAAACCAGCAGCTGACAAGAAGACCAGCAAGGAATGACCCAATAGACCGCCTCAGTCAAAAAACTTGCCTGGATAGAGTTTGTAGAAATCGACAGGCTTCTATGAATTCTATTTATGTTTTTTTGACGTGGCCGTGCCGGGAGGTTGGTATAAGGGGTATGAATCGCAGGTATGGTTCGGGGTATGGCTCGGGGTATGATTCGGGGTACTCTTGCTTTGTGGCTTGGACGCTGCAAAGCTCCCGTGCGCTGGCAACTGGATAGCCGTGAGAATTTGGACCGCTTAGTTGCTACAAGCCAGCCTGGGGCGCTTGTGGGTGGCCTGAACTAGACAGCTGCCACTCTGCGTGAGTGGGCTAGCGAAAGCTGCTGCGCTAGGTGGAAGGCGCAGAGCCACTGCCTGAGGCGAACGTCATTGCCACGTTCAAGCGACCCGCGTG